AAGTCAGAAACACTTGGATGACCTCTAATTTTCTGCTTCTGAATTGAGATAATCCTTAAAAATCTTAGAAATATGGTATCTAACCAGATGCTTAACCTGCATGGCATTACCTTGGCCTCCAGTAACACTGTGAGGAACCTTGGAGATGTTTTGGACCAGGATATATCCTTCAAAGTGTATATTAAAAAATGATGATAGATGACCACAACTCTGTGAGCCTGGTTCTGCTGGAGGTTTCTTCCTGTTAAAAGGGAGTTTTTCCTTCCCATTGTCGCCAAAGTGCTGCTCATAGGGGGTCATTATGATTGTTGGGTTTTTCTCTGTATCTATGAAGCGCCTTGAGGCAACTTTTGTTGTGATTTGGCGCTATATAAATAAAATTGAATTGAATTGAAGTTGTTAATACAGGCTGTCGTTTACATGTTAGTGACATTTACATGCAATGAAATTTAGTTTTAATACCTGTGATCACACTTTAAAATAACTTCACTGTGATTATTAACCTGACTTGCTCCACTGTAGAAACTGGAAAACCTGCATCCTGTAGCCTGACTACGTCAAACTTGAAAAGTGCAGAATTTCCGATACTTTCGGTGTTGCCGTTGATTGTGTTTCTATTTACTTGCGATCGCTCGGCTGAAGCATCACATGGGTAGTCAGCAGTATGAAGATGCAAAGATAATCATATTCATATGCACTGACAAAAAAAAGGACTATTTAAATAACCAGGATACTCACGTCCATATAAACACACTCATTGAACTGCAAAATGTCCTGATTTTCTCTCTGACTTTTACTTCGACTATATCACATATGTATTTTTATTTTGGTGAAACCCACTTTTAAGACTCACTGGGCACACCTCAAATTATAGTCCAAATTAGCAGGATCTTTTCCTAGTTTCTAAAAAGTACAGCATCATTATCCCAGTGCACCACAAAGAAGTCTCAGTTCTGTACCTGTGATCTTATCGCGAACCAGCTTGCAGGACTCGATCTCGCCGATGCTACCGAAGAGGCTGCGGAACTCTTCCTGGGTCATGTTCTGGGGCAGGTAGTTGACAATGAGGTTTGTCTTGCTGTCGTCGTTTGTTGGGCCGGTCTGCATTGGTGAGGGGCAGCCACGGCTGTTGTTGGTTGGCCCGTTGGCTGTGGTTCCTCCTCCACTGGGGCCATTTGTCACTGGAGCCTCCATGTTACTGATGATCTGGAGAAGGGAGGAAAAAGGGATACACCAGGAAAGGAACCACACAGAGAAAGGGTAGGAAGAGACAAAGAGATGTGGCCATCATTAACAACATTTTCTTATTAAGTAGCTGCAACACTGTACGTGTAGTAAGCCTTACAAGACTCTGATGATTTTTCAAAATGTTATTTTGAAAAATTTATTAAAAGTCTCAATGAAAAGAAGAGAATCAAGCTGTGCACCCTGCAGCCTTTGCTGTCTGCAGGATGCACAGCTTGATCCTCTTTGAAACAATGAGACATTTCAACATTAAACAACTACAATGAAAATTATATTTTACAGTAAATATTAGTTAATATTCTTATGTGGAAAAAGCAATTACACCCTTGGCTTTAAAAAATCGTATTAATAGTAGTGACTTCTTTTTAAATATCATCGCCTATAAGACATTCACTAGACTAGCTCAGTAGGTAGATGGTGGCCCCGTGACTGGAGGGTCGGGGGTTTAAATCTGCTGAACGGCTACCCTGAGGTACCCCTGAGCAAGGTACTGTCCCTACACACTGCTCCCCGGGCGCCCACTGAGTGAATGGGTTAAATGCAGAGAGGAATTTCCCCACGGGGATCAATAAAGTA